GGGTTTAGTTATGAGGGTTTACGGAGTTTTAAGGGTCAAAACATTTTTTAGGGTTTAAAATTTTAAGATATAGGCTTTATAAATCTATAATTAATGGCATTTTTGCAAATGAACACCTCTAAGTGGCATTATTGCAAATATGCACACAAAAAGTAGTATTTTTGTAATTGTTCCAAACTTCAAATAAAAGTTATAAAACTGAATTGTTAATACAAAATATTGTTAATTTTGAAAAATAAAAGAAACACAAAAACAAAAACCATCACTCATAAGAGAAAACTAACCGGGTGACTAAACTGACCTGAGATTCTCAACATTCCTCTTTTACATCTCTTCATTTTCTGTTACATTTCACAACGCCTAACTGAGAACCTTTACACAGCTCTCTGAGCTTGATATACAACAAACATTGAGAGAAGTTCAAGAGCTTGAGTTTCTTGAATTCTCGCCATGTCTATCCCGGTCTTCAGAACCCGGTTTCTCACACATGATACCTGTCTCCAGAGCCACTGAGTTCCCCATAGAAACCAGTTTGTCATTATCTATTGTCATAGGTGTAGTAGCGGTCATGGCTGGAGGATCAGAATCCATTTGATCCAATGAAGATGGGACTCCACCACAGTCCACGGTAGGTGTCGGAACCTTGGGGCCAAGATCTGCTGTTTCTGCGTTTTCATATTCAGATAAGAGATCCATAAACTCATTGAGTAGACGCTGAACCTTTCTGTTTGACGCCATTGCAGGAAGAATATCATCTCTCAAAAGTTTATGCTTCTTCACCCCCTGGAAATCAGAAACAATGTTTTAGAGTATTTTGATTTGGGAAAGGTTAGGCTTTGAATGAGAGAAGGTACTTACCAGAACATAAGGATCCCAAGACAAGTTTGTGTCTGAGGATCCTGCTTCAGCCATCCCAGTCGGAGGTCCAAGAAAGCTCTCGCACACTTCTCGTAGTCTTGACTCGTCTGCCTCTCTGTAGACAGAGACAAAAATCTTACTTGGTGGGAATATGATAGAGTTACATAGCACAGACCAAAGAAAACCCAAAGCACTAGTTTATTAATTGAAAGATCGCAAGAGAATCTTAGTCTAAAACACCCCAAAGAGACATGGGCAAAGCCAATAAACCTCCAAAGCTCCCTCTAGCTTGGATGTGTCTCAAAAAAGAGACTTCATCCTTACTTACACTAAGATGTACACACGCTTGAACCGAAAAGAATTTATATGAGAGAAGGGTACAGACCTTGCTAGAAACCTCACATAGGCGAGGAGGCACTGGCGGTATTCGTGAGAAGACTCCAACGCAAGAGATGATGCAAGCTGAGATTCCAAATGTGCACGTGTTTGCATTCCATCATCAGTAATCCTATAAGCATGAATTAAGCTTTTTTTATGGACTCGGAATATGCCATTGGTCTCAGGGCTGACATCAAAGAAAAGGAAGACAAGACCAACCTGTTCCATCCTGGCTTTCTGGCCATGTACTTTCTGACATCAACCTGCAAACCAGCAAGCTCGCCACATGGAGTTGATCCCAAATTCCAGGAGCTACTGAAATTTGAGGCTGGGAAGCAGTCATCAGCCACTCTCAGCCAGCACATTAGACTCGTGTCGAAGAGGAATGCATGACGTGTGGCTAGAACAACAAGAGGAGAACCAGACTTGGATAACTTCACAGATATCACTTTTATTGTACCTGCATAAATGTAACAGTGTATCAACAGAGCTTGCCGCATCAAGGAATATTAAATTCCAGGTTCCACTAGGTAAGCACAACAGTCCAAACCAATTACAGGGCCATCTTTATACTTTGAGACAAGACAACTCATGCAAAAACCAGGTGTATCAACTACCAAGTCACCCATGAAAGAGAATTAGTAAATCTCACTTCTTTGTTCTTTTGACTGGATTGCCCATTCCACCAGTTTAAAATCTTAATATGGTTCCCGAGAGACATGTTTTAGAGGATGAGAAGCCAAATGTAATACAGTCGTGAAACAAACCTTCTACTGTGGAAGACAAATTGACATTGGAAGATACCAAAGATGATAAAGAGTCATGGAGGATGCATTTCCTATTGAATAGATCCCACACATATAACGATCCTTTTCTTGTCACAAGCAGCAATTTCCAGCTATCGTCGCAATCAATAAATGTTGCAGCAGATCCCATCATCATAGTAGGCATGGCACGCCTTCCACACTTTGTGTAAACCTTCAGACAAAAAAAAACAAGTCTGTTACCAAAATCATCCCGAGAACTAAATTGCTCTCATTCTATATAAGTTGTTCCCTAAATTCCTTCTCCAAGAGTGTAATATACTCATCACCTCATATTTTGAACTAGACACTTCTTTAGAAAGTTAGGTACCAACACGAATATTACTATCGTTTAGTGACTCAGATGGAATTAAATTGATGGAGAAAAGATATTCAGAATACCAAAACCAAGAGTGGCTGATGCTATTAAAATCCAAATAATAAAGGAAGGTCCTTTAATAGGAGTGATATCAGCGATACCAAATGCAGAAACAATCACGAGTCATGGTCTAATTTGATTGATGGAGTTTCATGATCAGGTAAGAAACTGAAACACAGGGACTTCAAATCAATGGAGAAAAATTATTTTCTTACCTGGAGGCTTCCGTCTTCACATCCAACAGCCCAAAAATTTGGATTTCCAGCCAAAACAGTGACTCTCCCCATAATTCGATCAGACCAAAGAGTTTCACCTGATTTTTTGCAAGAAATCTCAGTTTCCTTGATCATTGATGTACTAACTGCACCAACAGTGTCCAAGGTATGCTCCCTAGGACAAGCTTCTAAGCAAACAGGTGCCATGGCTTCCCCTTCTTTCCAATCAAATACCCGTATGTACAGATCTGTGCTAGACGATCCCTTTATACCTACAGACTGTTCAACATTTAAAACTTCATTTCTACCGGAGGTTTCAGGAACCTTCTCAATAACAAGGCTCTCAGTAATGGTAGCACGAGCTGTAATCCTTGAACGCTCTTTAAGATCGGGGTTGCTGCCCACTATTTCTTTCATGGATGAATCTCTATTGCTAGTCCCCACAGGAAAATCTCCACTATCTCCCTTATCAGGAACAGCACAGGAAGCTGGAGGAAAATTATGGGATTGCCCGTTAATTGCGATATTATTCTCCTGCTGGGGAACTCCAACGGCTTCAGGAATGATCCTCTTTCTTCCGTCAGGCCTTCTATATACTTTTTGATTCACAGGATTAGATACCTGATTTGAGGTTGACGCTTTATTTAATGTGTCACCAGTAGCCTCTGCTGTCATATTCCGATCATCGACTTGAGATTTACGCTTCTTTACAGTACCCTCTACATTCACTGAGGGTTTTGTTGTCCCCTGGTTTTGTGAAACATCTGAGGCTGCCCTTTTACTACCGGATAGCTTTTTCTGCTTTGTCGAGACTGTTTCAAGTAATAATTGGGCTGGGCTCTCAACTAAGTTTGCTTGCCGGCCTCTGACATCTCCATATCGACTTTTCTTCAATTCATCTAGTTCCGTATCTGTTAGCCTGACACCTAATTCTTTTGGGTCAAAGTGAATCATCGCCACTGTTCCGTCCAAGGAACATGCAAAAAGCGAATATCCGTCAGGACTCCTGTAATTAACCCCAAAGAAAATATATGGTTAAAGAATCAAATTTTCATCTTCATTTATGCTCTCAAAAATAACTTATGACTCTTACAAAAGTGATCTAGGATTTTATATCGAAACCATAAATTAATTACATAATAAACACATATATGGTAAACCCAATGCACTTTTGGGACAGACCAAAATCCTATTTTGAAGACATAATTGCAAATATCATTGGATATGTAGATTTCCATACAAAAAAGGGATAAGTTTACCATGATAGATCCACAACACTTTGGCCGAAGAAATGCTTCGCCACAAAAAGAGGGCGTGGACTTGCAGTTGTCCATACAGTTATAGTGCGGTCTTGACTCCCTATTGCAATAACATTGTATGGCTGCATATCTTTCCCCCCTGATTTGGAAGTCCCATTGCTCCACCCAACTCGTTTCATTTCTTGGGCACTAGAAAGGGTTCGTTTAAACATTGAATGATTGAACTTCACAACAATGATTGGAGCATTATGACCTAAGAAGTCAAATGCTGCAGACCATTCCCCTCTTTCTAAAACAGGAGCAGAATGCCTCGGCTTCTGATACCCATGAGTGGTAGTAATGAAGTGGCCACAGGGGGACCACCCAAGTCGCCTGAAAAATGTGGATCCGAGCTAGAAAGGAGAAAAAGCAAATCCTATCAGCACAGAATATCCAGAGAAAACAGGAAAGCATTGTGGTAACTTTCAGATAATAAAGGAGTTGGAACCCTTATCAACTAGTTTATAAGTCCAACTATTTATGTAACTACATCCTAATAGAAATGCTTAAACAAAAATTGCATACCGATTTTTCCCAGTGACCAGCTGTTCTGTGAGCCATGCTCCAATCGCTTGTTCTCCAAATTATCACAGTTTTGTCATCCGACTGGCTAGCAATGAATGTCCCGATTGGATCCCAGGTTACACCTTTCACCAGACTCAAATGAGCCCTGAGTACAGTAGTGCAAATACCACTGCGCATATTCCATATATGGACCGTGTTGTCCAAACTCCCACTAGCCAGCATTGAATCATCTGGGGACCAATTAATATCCACCTACTTTAAGCATAGTTAGAAAAAATACCTCAGTTATTACATAACCATTGAAATCACAACTATAAGGTAACAAAAGTAGAACAAAAAAGCATTGTTTACCACATCGGCAGTGTGTCCCCTTAGAGTCATTACAGCTTTCCAGTTCTCAACATCTGGGGGTTCTCCACTACCAAACTCAGTGGTGCCCGAACCAGGCTTCCTCTCATGAATTTGAATCACTTGATCGTCAGAACCAGATGCCACATACCTACCGTGCTTGGCCCACCTAACACAGTTGACTGACCCAAAGTGGTCACGAAGGGTTGCAAGAAGCCTCTCTTTTGGATCTAAGTTTTGCAAATCCGTGTCAACCGACTTCATGTTCCATATCCGAACCTATTCTCATATTAGAGCTTACGATTAATGATACTAAAAATAATAAGTACAATTGAGAGAGAGGTTCAGCAGTGTATTCCTTCACTGGTCGACTCCACACTATGAAAGCAAAAACAGTTCTGCGTATGCAGAAGATTTATTCATTGATTCCATATTTTAACAGCTTGAAAACCATATCCAAGTTTTTATAGCAGCACAACACAAACACTCAACTAAAAATCAAACCCGTTTCAGTCACTGAGGGAAGAGATAAACAAGCCTGTGTCAGTGACATGGTCCAAATGCTACAAAGCCTAGCATCTTCCACTGAACAAAGAGGGTGCTGGCATAACAAACCAGAGTTTGCGCTAGATTCAAGTAAAGTATATCTACAATTCATAGTATTGGATAGACATTCTTAAATCTCAAAGAAGGCAGGACCAAATCCAAACAAGCAAAACAAATATGTAAGAACCATGATATGCAACAACATCCTATTGAAAAGCTCCTCGAATAGAAATATTAGAGTGTCAACGTACTCACAAAAGATCAAGAAATCAAGTACTTCAATTGGTTGCACCAAATACTCTGCAATGATGCCTTGGAATCATCAAATGTCAGTTCAATTTCGGTTCTTAACAGCGAAAACACACAGACAAAAGTGCAAAAACCCACCAATCCGACGAACTAGAGAACATTAGCAACGAATGTGTTACTGAATGATGGAAATTAGGTACCTTGTGGTCACCGCCGCCTGTGGCAAACCTTTCTCCGTTGGGTTGAACATCAATGGAGAATATTGGCAACCCTTCATGCCTAATCCAAACGGGTTTCTCCGCAATCATCTATCGACGACTCTTTCCACTCTATAACCTTCTCAATTCCAACTAAACAAAAAAATCGAAACAGAACGTCAATAAGATCACACCATGAACAAGCTCTTAGGGAGTTAACTGGGACTCAGCACTAGAAGAAGAGAAAAGAGCAAATCCAGAAACGGAGAAACTGCAACTCCAATTTTCATAGACGAAACCAAAAACCCAGAAAGCTAAGAGGTGAGAGAAAGATGGTATGAAACGAAACGAAACGGTGTAGAGAATGAAGTCAATTTAAATTTCGAAAGGTAAAAATAAAAACCCTAATTTTTCGTCCTAGACACAGAGAAAAGTAGAAAACCCCAAAACTTTTGGGCTAAAAATGAAACAAATTTAGAGGAATGGGATTAAGAAATAAAGAAGAGCGTATTGGAAAATGCAAGAGTTTTTC